TTATGTGAGTAGAAAGCTCTTCCCCCCCCCCCCCACACACACACACAGATATTTCTTAACAGTGAACCAGAATGGAAGCCTAATGAAATAAATGCCCCAAACATCCTGATACCCCACTAAGAAGACCAATGTATCAGTGGCCCAAATAAAACATGTATGCCTCATGCCACGCAATCCTCCTTTGACTTTGTTGTGGACATAATGGCGCCCCTTTAACTTGGCCTAAGCTGTTATATTTTTTAAGGTCTGAGTATTGCAGATAAAAAAAATTAAGTTATCCATTCAGGGACAATGAAAAAGGATGAAATATGTACAATTTTGTTGTATTTGTAATGTTTGAATGTTTGTGTCAAGTGAGCAAGCTTTTAAAAGATAGAGAACATGCAGAGAAAGGGGGCAATTAGAATAATTCCATACTGCATTCTATACAATTTTGTCCTAGATTGTACTGATATTCTATGAAAAAAGAGTTTTTTTTTTTTTTTTAAATCATGATGTGTTACATTACACTATATTTTTTGGCCATTTCCATTACATGACAATTTCTGCACTTTTCATGCGCCTTCATTAGCGGATGGGTGGCATCTCCAGCTTTGTTTCTTTTTCTGAGCTTATCTAGAATTCTGACATTTTTACTCTACGTTGCTTGTTCTCATAGAATTACAATGTACCTATCACGCAAATCATTGTCTGTTGATGCGTTATTGTAATATATTGACATTATGTGTGACAGGGATCGTAGTTGCTATACATGGGAAAGAAACTGGGGCTGGTGAGTTTTTGGTTCTAGATGTCCTGGAAGCAGGCCTACCACCACAAACAGAACTTCCTCTTAAATCAAGTACTTCTTCCTGATCTTTTACATCTCTGATGATTCCTTTACCTTGATAGAACGTGTGCATTGGTAGTTAGTTAATCAAAATGTCCTTCAGAAATTTTATTTTATTAATGTCTCGTGGTAGACTTTGATATTTTTAGTTAGTTAATGATTAGTCTGGTATGTTAATGTAGGGTGTCTACTGTCTGCGCGAGTGAGCATGATGTAGATAAGTGACACATTTTCTGCTCAAAACTGTTTTCTTTTCATCTGAGCTAAGAAGTTTCGATGATTGAAAATTTTGCTTCCTGATCAACAAGGGTAGACTGTCTTATGTTTTTCCTCTTTTTACCATGTCTGTCTTTTCATTTGACGTCATATGCTTGAACTTTTTCTTGAAGTGAAATTAGTTTCTTAAGTTGCTTAATATTTTGTCACACTTTGAAAAGTGCTTGCACTAAAGTTGTTGCTTTATGTTTCATTTGTCGTACTTTTATTAACTGGGTTGCAATGAGTAAGCTTGCCTTTTTGTGCTTCAAGCCAAATGTTTATGCGCATTCCTGTTGTAATGAAAGTGTTGGTGCAAAACTTTTTAACCTTGGTTTAACAGGGGAAGACAAATATGTCGTTTTTGTGTCCGGGTTAAGTTTTGGGAGCAGCAACTCCAATCCTCTCCAATTTCAGCTCTTCATTGATCATATTACTGGTCATTTAGGAGATGAGAAGGTTTATCCTGACATTTTTGAGCTTTCGTGCTAGTATTTAAATAATATGTCAAACTCTCAACTTGTCCATAACAAATTAAACAGGAGCAAATTTTGGCATCCCAAATCGTTCATGTTGTCATAGCAGGGAATTCTGTTGAGTTCCCTCGTGAACTTCTTAACGGGCAGGTATGCAGTTCTTTGATTTAGTTTTTTTAATGATAAACCACTTCAGCTTCTGACCTTTCCTATAATGTAGTTTTCTGTGAACATATCAGATCATTTTCTAGGGGGGAATTTAAATTTTTCGTCGGTACTCAATGTATCTGCTTTAACCTGTAGTCAAAACGGCAATATATATATGTATATATATTTCTCTATAGGCTACCCTTACTGAATTCTAATTAAATTTGCCCCAGCAACGTGCTAATCGTTCCCATTTAACAAACTTAAGGGAAAATCTGAACCTTTTTAGTTTTTGTTAATCGTATATTTAAAAATAAAACTTGTAAAGTCATTATGCTGCACATTTGCAGAATTTAGCTGCAAGGGATCTCTCAAGGTTGTCTGAACCAATAAAGGAACTTGATATTCTGTTGAATCAGGTTAATTGAATTTGCTTGATAGTTAGATATAATCTTTGTCTTTGCGAATCAAGTTGCTTAATGTTTTTATATGTGTTTAGATTGCTGTAGGTTTGCCTTTGGATATCATGCCAGGACCCATGGACCCAGCTAACTACGCATTACCACAGCAGGTTCTTATTCTATCCTTCAAAACTGTATGCAGGCTAATCTTTTTTTTTGGGTGGAGGGGGGTCTTTAATACTGTGATTTGTTCTTTTCAGCCTCTGCATAGATGCCTTTTCCCTGGGTCATCTGCTTATAACACTTTTAGATCCTGCACAAATCCTCACTGTTTTGAGCTTGATAATATTAGGTAATTGAAATTTTTCTAGCATCATTATTGTCTGCTAGAACTGTCTGTATTAAACTGAAACCTTACTGCTTCTAGGTTTCTCGGGACATCAGGTCAAAATATAGATGATCTTGATAAGTATTCAGAGGCCAAAGATAAACTTGAATTCATGGAAAGGACTCTACGGTGGAGACATTTGGCACCAACAGCACCTAATACACTCGGTATACATTACATATGCTGCAACGCTTGCTTGGTCACAGTTTCTGAAAATAGCTGTATATTTGCTGAAGATTCTAGAAAGCTAAAATCTGGAATTTTGTCTAGGTTGTCCTTGCTTCTGACCTTCATATTAATGTTTCTTCTAGGGTGCTATCCTTTCACTGATAGGGATCCTTTCTTCCTTGAGAGCTGTCCCCATGTGTATTTTGTTGGAAATCAAGATAAATATGAAACTCGTGTGATCAAAGGTATCTTGATTTTGAATTTTTCTTCTGAAAAATAGTTTTTATTTTTTATTTGCATTTAATATTACTTCTGCTTCTCTCTACACTGAATTCACAAGGGGAAAAAAAAAATCATATATGATTGCATGTGGGTTTTGCAGGATCTGAAGGGCAGTTGGTGAGGCTCATTTGCGTTCCTAAATTCAACGAGACTGGAGTTGCTGTTATGGTGAGCTTTAATTTATTCACACAATACCTAAATCACTTCCACAAGGGTTTGAATAGCTTATCTCAAGGGTTAAATTAAATGTACAAATTAAACTTATCATTATGATAATGGCCTTCCGGCTGATCAATCTATCCTTATAAATGATTAATAAACTGGGTATGATTCTTAGCTGGAACTTTTGCGCGCTCCCTCTTATTGCTATCAAACCTTCTGTCTTTGAATAAAGTGAGTTTACCAAACAAAAAAAAAAAATATTAGAAAATAATGTAAATGATTTATGCCATCTTTCTTTGTTTCCAACTCAAGGGGGGTTTGAAAATCATGGAAAAATAGGATTATGCTGCATTGATATTATGCTTGTTAGCCTTGATAACTCAATTAAAAAAAGTCAGTTATTTTGGCTTTTTCTCATTTGATGAAAAACTGAGGCAAGAATAGGAACGAGAGAGCATTATTTTTTCCTGTTTGAATTTCATGGTTAAGACCTATGGTAGAGGTTTGCATCTGACATTATTCTTTATCAATACTTAAATTTCTTTCTTTTCTGCAGCTAAACCTGAGGGATCTTGAGTGTCATGCTCTTAGTTTTGGGACGCAATTCAGCTCTTAAATATGCGCAACGAAGTGGTAACTGAAGCTGTGACCTTAAAATTTTACCATTGGTCGAAGTATAATGTTGTTTTCCGTTAAAATAGTTATAACTGCGTTTTAACAATTCTAATCCGATTGATAAATATGTTCATAAATGTTTAGGAAGAGTTACATAATCCGTACAAGTTATGGTTTACCTACGCATGTGCTGAGTTTTCATTTTTCTGAAATGTGGATGTATTTACATCCCATCCCAGGCACGACAGCATACTACCGTTTACATGTTACGGGAAGTTTGTTAATTGCTGCCATCTCTACCCTTAAAGAGAAAGCCAAAAGGTGTAAATTGGTGCTCAAAGCTGACGAGGGAATTTTCCTAGTGTAATATATTGCTGGTGTAGTGCTCTAATTTATACACTTTGAGTAGAGTTTTTCCAGCTCGTAGTTGCAAGTTTATACATTTGGTGTAACAGTAACGTTTTGGGAAACTAGGATTGTCTTAATCAGAGGGGATTGTAATTTCCAGCGTAACATCATTTATTACCATACTTTTTTCAGTTAGTGCGGTGATAACGGGTTCATGCAGTGACAACTACACAGCCACCTCAAAAAAAATCTATAGTCAAAATATGCTCAGGTCCTAAATGTAAGTCTTATTTTATAGTGTAAATTATATTATAAAATAAATTTTATATTTAAGACCGGAAAATTTTTTTTTTTTCCGTTGCTAACAGTCATAATAAGGTATAACGTATGCTGTGCATGCCTGTTTCCACAGCCACTTGCAAAGTACAAAAATAATATTTCTATACACCCGTTCCGAAATAAAGCCATCAACTTGCGAGACTTGTACACGTTTTGAATAGTTTTTAAAAATAAATAGAACACTGCTTTTCTTTTGTATAATCAACAATTTTATTATTGCTTATGTGTCGTTGACAAGTCCGATCTAAAACCATCTGCCGGAATTGTCAACCTGGATTTCTATATCGTAGCTATCAGGAAGTGACGTGCCATGCCCCGCAAATCATTGTAAACTCATGCCCAACGGTTATATATTTCTTTGGATTATTCTGTATTTGTCGTCTAGTTGTTGGCATTACCACAACGGTTCGTTTTCCACATATCAAGAATACTCCACTCCTATGAAAAATATCAAAATTTTAATCATACGAACCAAACATCATAAAAAGAAACTTAAAGCAAAACCATTTTGCTCACAGTGGATATTGCTGTTAAAGTTCAACATATAACCAAGAAGTCGTCGGATGAACTCCTCAGAAAGTTTGCTGACGGCTCCGACCATGAGTCCCAGAAGAAAAAGATTTGTGTAGAACCAAACGTCCAAATAAATATTGGGCCGTGATAGATGACAGTCAATGTGAGAGCCCATCAAGGGGTAGCACCCCTATAATGGAGAGGAGGTCGTTTCCGCCGACACGGAGGCCGGCGATGCTCCGGCAACTCTGGATTGGGAGGGCACAGCTCAGGCCGAGGGACGACAGGAACAAGTTTCTCTTGGCAATCATTGAAAAGGTGAGGTTCATTCACCTTAGAAAAATCTCTACTATTGCACTTGTTGATCACCAATGTGACTGGGAGGCCCTACTACAATTGTTCTGGTCTGCAAAATAGTTAGCTGCAGACGGTCATTAGAAAGTCCAGGTGTAAATGTATAATTGAGATAGGAAACACTTCATTGGAATCAGTTTAAGGAGTTGGGTGAGAAGACTAGAAATCACATTTGTTATGTTATCATAGTTCATGAATATCAGCTTGGAATGCTCTCTTGTTTCTTTTTAATGCATTCAATGACATACTGACAGCCTTTGCCTGGTTTCATGATCCAAACCAGGCGTTACACTTTCAGCACTGGAAAATTTCCTAGACCAGGGAGACTTGCGTTTGTGAGAGAGAGAGAGAGAGATTGTAACTTTCAATCCTCTAATTGTGAGAAAACGAAATTATAATGTATTAGACATCTAGTCCATTTGGGAAAACAGCTTGTTGAAACATGAAAGATGACACGTGTGGATGAAAACCAAAGTGATGATGATGGAACTTGTCGTTGGCCTTTCTATTATTGCTGTATAAAAGATGTCATTGCCAGTGCTTTTAATTCATTGCTTCCTGCAGATGTGGCGTAGAACCATAGAAGTGGCCTCTAGAGTTTTCATTGACAAGCATTATTATCGCCACAAGATTCTGAACTGCGACATTTCTTAACAAGCTCCCAGAGATGCCACCTGGCACTTCCTATTTCTTCAACTGTGCTCATCCTTTGTGTAATTTCTTGTACATTACTCAATTGATGCTATTTCTTTCATCTCAACCTTGAGTCCTTCAGGAATTATATTCCATGTACTTGTGATCGTACTCCATACAAAAGTACATAATACTGGCCTCGTCTCGTGAACCCTTTTCTCCTTTTTTGCTCAGCTCTTTTGAACAGGAAGCTGCCTGGTGATTTATTTGGCATACCTAAATCCTTACCCATCTCAACCAACTTCAAAAAGTTCTCACTTGACTCTACCATTGAATATCACATTCACATCACCTATTCATGTACCTCTAGTTTTGGTGACTTTCGATCTTGTAGGAGAAAACACATGAACTCAGCTTTACATCGGAATCAATTGTTATGTTCGTTTAGCGTCAAGAAAAAAAGTGCTTGTATAATTTGAAGAGAGAAAAAAAGGACCCAAGCAAATATAGTAATTTGACAACAAAAATATGCTCCCAGGATGTCATGCACTGAGCCGTGCGGTATAAATGTAATAGATGGGTTTTTGGGTATCAAATGGTCCTACCTTCCTTCCATCTTAAAAAAAAAAAAAAAAGGGTCCCGACTTCCTAGGTAGCAACTACGAACTTTGAAAGTTTGAATGCAGCTGTAAAAGGGAGGGATTAAATAAGATTAGCTGAAAAGTGAAGGAAGAAAAAACCGAATATTATTGAAATGAAGAAAGAGGCCTGTGATGCAGAAAAGGCCACTTCACAAGCCACATGTGTTGAGTTACTTTCCCTTTCTGTTCTGGAAAACAACATGCCCTCTACCACTGCTCTGCTAATCTCTTCCCTTTTATCATCCCACCTTGTTGAATAATTTATATGCCACAACTACTCAATCACACGTGTCCATTTTAGCCCTTCGATCTCTTCGGGAATATATGATATGCTATGGCCAATATTCATCCCGGATCAAAAGCTACCCAAAACAATTTCTTACTCTCAAACACGAAGAAAAATTGAACCTTTTTTATGCAGATCACAGGTCATTGGACCGGAAAGTCAAATGGGCAAAGCAAATGGCATCTGTTCATTTGGCATTTCATTCGGATCATCAAGAAGGAAAAAAAAAATGACCACTTGGTGAGCGGTACTGAAACTTTGGACCAACAAATGTTGCACGCAAACGCTAAGATTGAAAAGCAACCTAACCTAAACTTCATATAAACAGACGCAATCTCAATCATTACTGATAGGGTTCAATCCTCTAGAGGAAAAAGTTCACAACTTTGTTACATCTAGTAGCAGGTGCTGACAATGTTGATCTGCCAAGATGTCACAATGTTTCCATATAGGCCTAAGCAGGCGAGCAGCTGATCTTTTACACGGGTTCACTCAGTTTTAACAATCATATCAATGGCAATTATGTAAATAGACATTTGTGAGCAAACAGAAATGTGGACATCGGAAATTTGCATTAAAAATTATTAGTAGGAGGAGGGGAGGAAAATTGATGGGCGCTTCTCTTTCTTTCATCGACTTCATAACAAAGTCAACACAAGCTTTTGTCAACTTTCCTCTTCCTTTCACTACCCGACTCGCACGCAGCAAGCATTCTGTAATCTGCGCTTTCTCTGGAAACCTTGGTTTCTTGCTTGTATGAAGAGAAATCCTCTGCTCAAACCCTTTTGATCCCCACATGTGTTCTCTCTTCCTCGCAAACGCCATGTTTGACCCCTTCCGTTCTCTCTCAACTCTATAAAGAAAACCACTCATTTCCTTCTAAACTACTAGGATCAGATCTTTTGTTGTTTTGAAATTCTGATCGTAAACTCTATCTACTCAAATCCAAAGTTGATTCTTTGATTCGTTCTTTGTTGGATACGAAATTGCGAATTTCCTTTGTCTCTTCATATCACTGCTTATTTAATTAGTCTCCTTTGTCCACTAATTTTAGTCTGTTGCTAGCGAATTGCAGTCTTGCCAATTTTTTTCTTGCTTCAAGCAGTCATCTTCAAAATGCTTTCTTTCCACCACCATCTGTACTCTCGATTAAAGCATTAAAATTTCATGCTTACGGATTTAATATTCGAATTTCTGGGATCCGCAGTGTCTTGTCTTGAGGAATCCGGGTTTTCCTGTTTACCATCAGCACTTAATTTCTTCTAGGGATTTGTTAGAGAGGGAAATGTGGGATGTTTTCGTGGTTGGCAAGGATAGTTTCTGCGTGCTTGAGGCCGGTCAGGCGGTATGCCCGCATGAGCAAGGATGACGTGGATGATCCTTCCTCGATTGAAGACACTTTGCTATGGTATAAGGACCTCGAGAAACACTCGTGCGGCGAATTCTCTTATGCTGTGGTTCAGGCCAATGAAATTATCGAGGATCACAGCCAGGTCGAGACTGGCTCCGACGCAATGTTTATCGGAGTGTACGACGGCCACGGTGGTCCCGAAGCGTCTCTGTTCATCAGCGAACACCTTTTCCATCACCTAATGAGTGAGTATTATGGAATTACATACTAAGTTGTGGCCTCATATCACTCAACGGGATTGATTTGCTCCATTATCATCATTGAGTGTCGACTTTATGGACTCCCTGGATGTATTTTCTTCTTTTTTCCCGTCTTATTCCTAGGATGGTCCTCTGGCTTATATGGTCTCGGCGTCAGATGGTTTTGTTGCTTTGTTTATGATGCCTGTTATGCTATTGCAGGAAAGCTAGTTGAAAATTTACTTTGCTTTCCCATTTAAAAGCACAACGCAGGGTAACATTGCTTTCGTCTTCCTCCTCCTTCACTTCTCTTTTCCTCGAGGATGTTTCTTGAACTGAGGGAGTGAGGATCTCCACGAGAGGGGGGGGGGGGAGACAACAATTATTGATTGTATAGCAAATGAGTAAAGACTGGAAATCTGTTTTCAGAACCATCCGTCACCCAGTAGTTCATCCTAGAACCGACTAAATAAGATTTTTATGTGGTATTTATTCTCCTCAATCGGTCGTCATATACATATACTCCTTTTGTAGTCTTTGCAGATTTTTGACGTCATTTAAATTTAATGGTTTCTTTTAGATAATAAAATAGACGATCCTCTTCTGCTTTGAGGATGCATTGAAAAATTACGTTTCCATTTAAGATTATCCGTAAATTTGCAGGGATAGCTCGAGATAATGGTACTATATCTGAAGATATCCTGAGAGGTGCTGTTTCCGCGACTGAAGATGGATTTCTAACTTTTGTTCGAAGGACTTATGGTATAAAGCCATTGATGGCAGCGATCGGTTCCTGTTGTCTGGCTGGTGTTATTTGGAAAGGGACTTTATATGTCGCCAACCTTGGAGACTCTCGTGCTGTAATTGGTTCTGTAGATAGATCTAATAAGATCGTTGCTGAGCAGTTGACTAGAGAGCACAATGCTAGCAAAGAGGAGGTTCGACGTGAACTTAGGTCCTTACATCCTGAAGATTCGCAGATTGTAGTTATGAAGCATGGAACGTGGCGCATTAAGGGCATCATCCAGGTTTTCTTTTCTTTTCACAAGGACTTGTTAATGGTTCATGTTCATTATGTTTTCGTTTTTTACTTGTATTTCTATGAAGTATATGTAGGTTTTGAAGATTATAAGCATGCTCTTTCAAATATGTGACTGGGAATATCGAATCTGACATTTAGTAATCCATCTTATGTTAGCATATGATGGACGGGATGGTAGGTGATGTTCCTTTCTATTTTAGGTGGAATCCTTACCCATGATAAACCATGCTTCTAGCAAAACTTAGAGCATACATGAACGCGTTTTTTTCTTGGCAGATGCATTCATGTATTTGTTTGTGCGTTTTCAAATTGGAAGTATTTAATATGGTTTAGCACAAATTTATGGAAATTATGGCGCATTTGAAGTATTCATTACTTATGTATGCTACCAAGGGTTTGAGGGACTTGGTATTCATGACAGATTACCTCACAATTACAACTGCATATATGATTTTATTTTTAGTCTGTCATTTTTTGTTTTTTCAAGTGATGCCTGGTGATTTTGATTTCTGTTACCTTCTAATCTTATCAAATCATTGTATATGATTGCTCATAACTCAAGCAGTTTTCTGATTCACTCCACATCATTCAGGTATCTAGGTCTATAGGCGATGCATATTTGAAAAGACCAGAGTTTTCTCTTGATCCTTCGTTCCCACGATTCCACCTGCCAGATCCCATCCGGCGGCCTGTGCTGACAGCCGATCCATCTATATGTTCAAGGGTCCTACAACCTAATGATAAATTCCTAATATTTGCTTCTGATGGACTTTGGGAACACTTGACAAATCAGGAAGCTGCGGAGATCGTTCATAACAATCCTCGAACGGTATGCTTTTGTCCTACTACTTTGTTTCCATTGATACTGACAAGCAGCAAACTAACCTCGTTCACCATGATGCTTTTCTTGGATGTCAGGGGATAGCAAGAAGACTGCTCAAAGCCGCCCTGAACGAGGCGGCTAGGAAGCGAGAAATGAGGTATAAAGATCTGCAGAAGGTGGAGAGGGGGATCAGGAGGTTCTTTCATGATGATATCACGGTTGTGGTTGTCTTCATCGACCACGAGATGGTTGGGAAGAATATTGCTGTGCCTGAATTGTCCATCAGGGGCTTCATTGACACAGTTCGTGCATCCAATTTTAAGGTCGTTCGGGATTGACGATTGACATCAATGCAATGTTCACTCTATAGTTCTTTTACCAACGAACTTGAACGACTCTGCTTGTTTTATGGGGAATTAAGTTCAGAAAGTTGCAATTCACATTGACATTTTTGCAGGATCTCGTCCTTGTTTATTCTGAACACTTCTTGGTGCCTAACCTTTACAAATTGACACCTTATCGCTTGGTAGACTGGCGCTTTTTTTTTTTTTTTTTTTGAGTTGGAAAGGGGGGGTCTTTGAGGTTATAGAGAAGAGACAGACATTGAAGTGTGACAATGCCTCGTTTGTTTGAATAAAGTCCGATAATTTGGAGCATGATTTATATTGCGCATTGCTGATTAATACTGATATAGATGTGTGAGTCGAGGGCCTTCCTTTATAGTCATTGATTCACGATCATGCGTACAAAGTGGGCGGAAAATGAGTTAATTGAAGTTTTTATAATTTTATTAAAATTACACAAATCTTTCTTTTTTAAAATTATGCCTTTTTATCTTGTCTGAATGAAGTAGAAGAATTTCAACTAAATGGCAGAGGCGGTTCTTTGATGCCTGATCACTGGCAAACTTTTTACTGATATTGCTTCTCCAAAACGCGTTTATATGCGTTTGCTCTGCATGAGTGGAGGTGGCGGCGGCATAATCTCGTTCTGCATATTCTATGGTTGGTGATTTGTGTCTTGTCCTCTAATTCTCGCCCACTTCAACTTTCTTTTATCTGGTTTTCTTGCAACTATGGAATTCATACCGCTTTGGTAACAAACAAGGAAGCCACTGGTATTGCTCGCTTGACCTCCACCCACGAAGGCTTTTTCGATTTCCGAGGGAGTGAGAGCAGAATAACATATTGGAAGTCCGAGGATGTTCCGACTAGCGACATCTTCGATCAAGGTAACTTATTAAATCATATTTTTAATTATCTTATCGAGTTTTTGCTTTTCATTTGTGTAACGTAAGTTGCACCATAAACTAAATTTTATATTTTAAAAAATTTATATTTAAAAGTGGAGGTAGTATATCATTATCGTGCACAGAAAAAGATTGCCTGTTGTATCATTAAGAAAAAAATTGCCTAATTTCCTATCAAAGCTTAATGGCAGTCGAGACAATCCGCTCGTGCTTAATTTGTTCCCAAAATCCGTGATATCCTCGCAAACTAGCCAGCACCAAGTACGCATATCAACTCAAGGCGTTGGTGATCAATAATTTTTATTCCAGTAATTCAAAAATCAAGTACATAATCACTATCTCAATATAGCTCATCAAAAGAACTGCTGATTCAACCTCCCAAATCGGTAACCATGCACGGCTCTTCTACCAAAAAAAGATGGGTCATGCCAGGAGAAACAAAACAACAAAATCTTACATATCTTGCCTGTTTTTCATGCTCTTATCCCGTCATACGAGGGGCAAAAACAGAAAGAAACATGATAAAAAGGAAAAAGTTCAAGATAGGAATGAAACTTCCGCAACCAGTGGGTGCTACTTCTGTCGTACAAAATCTATTTTGTGAATTTCGGATCCACTTTTTGCTTTCCATAATTAAAAGCATTTCCTGTGAACAATTGATGGCCCGGATTCATCGTACTCAGCCTTCGCAATCCACATCTGCACTCAGGAATGATTGCATATCAGAAATACTAGAAACTAGATTAGAGAAATTATCAACTTAACAGTTCACCTCTAGACCCCTGTGAAATGAAATATGCTCCTCGGCTGGTTTACTTAAAGTAAGTAGAACAGTGCCACACTCAAAATTAGGCCCGAAACAGTATAACATTGTGTTTGATTGCTTCCCTTAATCTGACTATAATATTTGGTTTATCCTCTTCGTTTACTTGATCAAATTAATCTTCGCTCTAGTCATAAAATTTTCCTATCAAATTAGCGGCATTATCTCAGTAAAATCAAACAGTTCCGTAACACGTATTAACATATATGCGCGAGCGCACACTACCTGTTGGAAGGTGCTGAGAGATGCCAAAATCGAGCCTCCAATCCAAACGCTATACTTCCGCTCCGGTGGTGCAACCACCTTGATTTTCATGCTACTAGGCGCTAAAGCTGTGATCTCCTTACTCATTCTATCAGCAATGCCTGGGAACATTGTGGAACCACCACTCAAGACAATGTTACCGTAGAGATCCTTCCTAATGTCAACGTCACACTTCATGATCGAGTTATATGTTGTTTCGTGTATGCCAGCGGCTTCCATCCCAATCATGGATGGTTGGAAGAGCACTTCAGGGCAGCGGAATCTTTCAGCGCCTATCGTGATCACCTGCCCATCAGGGAGCTCATAGCTCTTCTCGACAGCTGAGCTGGTCTTTGATGTTTCCAGCTCTAGTTCATAATCAAGCGCAATATAGGCTAATTTTTCCTTCACGTCTCTCACAATTTCACGCTCAGCACTAGTGGTGAAAGAGTATCCACGCTCAGTCAAGATTTTCATCAAGGCATCAGTGAGATCACGCCCTGCAAGATCCAAACGCAAGATTGCATGTGGGAGGGCATAGCCTTCATAGATGGGAACCGTATGACTAACACCGTCTCCGGAGTCCAGAACAATACCTACGAAGGCATATAAACAGCATTGTCATCTCGTTCCATATAGCAAAGCATTCCGTGCTCCTAAAAGAAAACTTCTGTTTCCCTAATCATTATAACTGCTTTAGAAAAAGCACAATAACAGGAAAAATACACAAACAAACAAATGCATCAAAAACATCATCATTACCCGCAGCTATTAAATTTTAAGATCGGTAAATTATCCCAATGTTAGAGACTTAAAAACAGAAAATAGATGCTGATGATTCGTTACCAGTTGTGCGGCCACTAGCGTAAAGGGAAAGGACCGCCTGGATAGCGACGTACATGGCTGGAGTGTTAAAGGTCTCGAACATAATCTGAGTCATTTTCTCACGATTAGCCTTGGGGTTGAGAGGTGCTTCTGTCAGGAGAACAGGATGCTCTTCCGGGGCCACACGGAGCTCATTATAGAAAGTGTGATGCCAAATCTTTTCCATATCGTCCCAGTTGCTGACAATGCCATGCTCGATAGGGTATTTCAGAGTCAGAATACCTCTCTTTGACTGAGCTTCGTCCCCGACATACGCATCCTTCTGTCCCATACCAACCATCACACCCGTGTGGCGAGGGCGACCCACAATGCTAGGGAATACAGCCCTTGGAGCATCATCTCCAGCAAACCCAGCCTACAAAGTTGAGATATTTAAAATGATACATACTTTAGCGACATGTATCTTCATAAGATCCTAGATGACCACAAGCTCGGATCCTTACCTTGACCATTCCCGTTCCATTGTCACAAACAAGAGGCTGAATATCCTCAGCGTCTGCCATTTTTTATCGATTGTTGCAGACAAGCACCGATCTTAAACCAAAATATTAAAAATATATATATCAGGGAACAACAAAACAAAAACAGAAATAACATGGAAACAAAGAAGAGCCATTTCATGAGCTAAAGGGGTAAAGATTAATCGCGAATTCCATCAGCTAGAAGCTCAAACCCATGGGCATAACGAAATCCAGATGCAATCATACAGAGTAGCTCTGGGATGCCGCGCAAAGGATCGTCATTTGTAGCCTTTACCGATATTGAACTCGCAAGAGACATAAAAAGATACCGACGGATTCATTCAAGACTCTAAGCAGCTAATGTGGCACATGTCCGATCTCAAAAATAGCCGATGCACATGCCATTATGATCAGAAAACCTTGAAATAACAGAACGTTTTGAAACTTCCCCAAATTTCTTGTTTTTCAACACATTCCTATCGCATTCTAATATCTTACAATGGACGAAAAATAGAGAATCAATTGGATCAAATGATGCTCGTTCGCGATATTGGATCAGAATGGAAAAGTTATTCCATTTATACAAAAACAGAACAATAACAAGGTTAAGACATCTGCAATTCGATCATAACAAAAAGATTAGGCTAATTAAAAATCATGGATAAGAATGCGAAAACAGAGAAGTCGGGGTTCTTAATGTTCTGAATTCATTCCCCCAATGACGAGAAGGAAAATAGGAGAAGGAGGAGGAGAAGAATGTGTACCTCTGGAATAAAATGAGATGCGGGAGTGTGCGTTGCTCTGGGGAGTGTCTTGTTTCTTGTACTTCTCTTTTAACGGACTTTGCGACTGTGGCCGAAGTACCCGCGTCTCGTTTAAAAAGGGACGTCCGGTTCCCGAAATGAAATTCAACTCAAATGAACCGCAAATTCGCCGTCTTCAAATCCTCGCCGTCTGTCTCAAGTGTCTCGTTCGCGGACCCACACCGCCAAATTACATACAGCTGGCACACCTGGCCCCTTTTTTCCCGTTATGACCGATTTCTCCCTCCCATTTGTTCTTATCACCTATGCTGCCCTCATCTTAGCAGTATCGGAACACTGCCTTGTATGAGTCCAAAACAAAAAAGAAGAGAAAATTACTGTAGAGTCCCACAGAAAAGAATTTACTACTGAAAGGTCTCATGAAATCATAAAATGTATATGAGGTCCCAAGAGACTTTATAGCAAAAAATTTCAAACGTGCAATTACTTTCTTGCCCTTCTGCTTAAAGAAAGAAACTAAAGCACACGATTGAGAGAAAAACTCCTATCAGTTGTCATCTTCATGAAATCCGCCGTCGTCTCATTCGTGTCCATCCTTGTGTGCTCCGACAGCTTCAATCTCCGGCGAGGTCTGTCAGTGTCTGCTCGGTACATTGTCGCTCGCTGCTCCGCACTCCGTCGGTCTCTGGTCCGCATTCAGTCGGTCTCTAGTTGGACGCCTCCACTCTCGTGCACGGTCCGTCGGTCGCTGGTTCGCACCCCACTACCAGTGAGCCTCGTGGGTTCCATTGTCGATGACCTTCGCACCCGGCGAGCCTCTCTCTCTTGGTATATCATATTGATATTATCTATTACTGGTATATTTAGTTGAGGCGCTTCTCAGTTTCAGAGCAACAGTTGGCTATTGTGTAAGTTGTATTATTTAAATTTCGAAGTAATGTTGGCTATTGTCAATTGTTGTGCATAAGTTGTTATTACAGTGATCGAAGGTTGTCATTAACGACCCCATGACCTGTCCTGTTATGTAGGATGGAAGACTTGTGTAAGTTGTATTATTTAAATTTCGAAGTAATGTTGGCTATTGTCAATTGTTGTGCATAAGTTGTTATTACAGTGATCGAAGGTTGTCATTAACGACCCTATGACCTGTCCTGTTATGTAGGATGGAAGACTTGTGTAAGTTGTATAATTTAAATTTCGAAGTAATGTTGGCTATTGTCAATTGTTGTGCATAAGTTGTTATTACAGTGATCGAAGGTTGTCATTAACGACCCCATGACCTGTCCTGTTATGTAGGATGGAAGATTTTTGTAAGTTGTATTATTTAAATTTTGAAGTAATGTTAGTTATTATCAATTGTTGTGCATAAGTTGCAATTACCTAAGTGGAGCGATTCCAAATGAACTAGGAAACCTATCACAGCTCAGAAGTTTGTGAGTGCAGTATTTTAATGTAGTTTCTGGTTCATTTCATCCAATTTATGTTGTTATAAGGATGGACAAATCTCATTCATTCATCATATTCCTGTATTTTCTAGGGTTATATCAAGTAACTCCCTCAGTGGGAATATACTATTCTTTATATGTTGTAATTGGTTGCTCTATATGTTGTCATTTACTATCCTGTATGTTGTCATTTACTACTCTATGTTGTCATTCACTAGTATGTACGCTGTCAACTGCTTATTTGTATGTTGTGATTGGTTGGTGTGAAGGTTGTTATTGTCTTGTGTGCGGGTTGTCATAAGCCTCTGTTAGTTTGTCGCTTGCTTATGTATAAGTTGTAATTTCCTGCTGTTATTGTTGTCATTCGGTTTAGCGTGGATTGTCATTGGCTGCTGTGTATGTTGTGAATGGCACAAATGTAGGTTGTGATTGTCTGATGTGTAGGTTGTGACTGTATGCTGTGCATGTTGGATGCTTGTAATCCCCTCAAGAAATCCATGACTTGAAGGTTGGATGCTTGTGGTGGCTTGTAACTTATCAGAACAACCTGCATGGTGATCAAGTGCTGTCTTTGCTACGAGGAAACTCCCAAAGCAAGAAGAAGAAATAAACGATGAGCATAGATTGTATTTAGTTTTTTTTATTTGACAGCTGAATGTAAAGTTCAGATTTTGTTTCTTTATTTGACCATGTAGTGATAGCTAGATGTTAAGATATGTTAATGTGTATTGACATCATTTACTGATTATGAAGTTTTTGTAATGACATTCATGTGTTTTGACAAAACAGGAAATTCTTCATTCCATACACGAATCATGTCCACAAATGCAGACTAAATAAAACTGGATAAACAAATGGTAACCATGATGACATGATAGGCATATATCACAATCATCTCTGTCACATCCATTTACAACCTCAACGGGGGGGTTGTTGACAACCCGAAGACAAGTGGTTAACAACTTGGGTAGTGTCCCTGACAAATCACTCTGTGGGATGCCACAGCTTCTAAATAGATTGTATTATCAGCATATATAACGACCTTAAAAAAAATTAAGAGCATTTTAAAGTTATTAACAGCTTTAATTGAACCCAATAGGATTACAGTAGATTTTTACTACAGCAATTCATTTACAACCTCAACGGTGGGTGTTGACAACCCGAAGAGAAGTGGCTAACAACCTTCGCAATGGGCCAAACAAATTTGTATGAAAACTTATCAGCAATGCTGTACCTATATAGTGCTTGTCTAAGGGCTACTGCATTAGGAAAAATTTATCCTTCTCCAATAACCAGACCCTTTCACTTTGTTGAATTCCTTTCCGAAATTGGGGTTGACATCATTTCTGAACCACATGGCAATGATAGTGGGTATTCACTAAACACATTGGGTGGAGACATGGATAATGCATCTGAACCTTCGAACAAGTCTTCCATCCTACATAACAGGACAGGTCATGGGGTCGTTAATGACAACCTTCGATCACTGTAATAACAACTTATGCACAACAATTGACAATAGCCAACATTATTTCGAAATTTAAATAATACAACTTACACAAGTCTTCCATCCTACATAACAGGATAGGTCATGGGGTCGTTAATGACAACCTTCGATCACTGTAATAACAACTTATGCACAACAATTGACAATAGCCAACATTACTTCGAAATTTAAATAATACAACTTACACAATAGCCAACTGTTGCTCTGAAACTGAGAAGCGCCTCACCTAAATATACCAGTAATAGATAATATCAATATGATATACCAAGAGAGAGAGGCTCGCCGGCGGTGGGGTGCGAAGGTCATCAACGATGGAACCCACGAGGCTCGCTGGTAGTGGGGTGCGAACTAGCGACCGACGAACCGTGCACGAGATTGGAGGCGTCCAACTAGAGACCGACTGAGTGCGGACCAGAGATCGATGGAGTGCGGAGCAGCGAGCGACAATGTACCGAGCAGACACTGACAGACCTCGCCGGAGATTGAAGCTGTCGGAGCACACAAGGATGGACATGAACGAGATGGCGGCGGATTTCATGAAGATGACAACCGATAGGAGTTTTTCTCTCAATCGTGTGCTTCAGTTTCTTTCTTTAATCAGAAGGGCAAGAAAGTAATTGCACGTTTGAAATTTTTTGCCATAAAGTCCCTTGGGACCTCATATACATTTTATGATTTCATGGGACCTTTCAGTAGTAAATTCTCTTCTGTGGAACTCTACAGTAATTTTTCCAAAAAAGAAAGGAACACTGCCTTGTATGATAATTGAAAACCCACTTGTGTCAATTAATTATTGATTGAAACTATAATTAAAAGTAAAAGACATTTGAAGTTGTGCTAACCATGATATGTAATAAACAAAAATAATTAAAAGTAAACTAAAATTTTGAACACATCAACTAATTTTAACTCAACTTTTTAGTATATGTCAATTCCAGACTTAAGTCTTCTAAATTTAACAGAAAGAGTAATACTCTTTTGATTCTCAGGGATGTTTGGATAAAAACCAAACTGTGTTTCAGAAGTGTTTTTACGGTTTACGAAGTAAATATATGGAGGAATTTGTCTCGTTTTGCGAAAAAGTACTTCTGAAATTATAGTTTGGAAGTTGCCAAACACCCCCTTAATATAAGACTTATTTAGCTAATTTGATTATATTAAGAAAGTTAGGTAAGTTAGTTAATTATAAGAAATATGATATGTTTTTCTTGAAATACCATAATCATCTTTTTTAATATCCTCATTCTCTCTTCTATTTGATTATGATAAGTATCTATAGGAAAAATTTAGAAAAAAAATTGCTAAATATGATAAATAGGTCTTATATTTAGAATCATAATCAACTCAATAATTAAGTCATATATTAGAGATTATTAGAGCATTCAGACTACGTTTTGACTCTTGAATGCTAGAAATATACTAGTCTTTGAAATTTGTTCCTTTTCCCCCTTAATTTTCAATGCTTAATAGATGGGCATTACTTATTATCGTGGAGCTTCATTATGCATTGCCATGATACCGTCATACAGATTTGCTAATTATCCATCAATCGTGCGCATCCGTGGGTCCCTAATTTATGCATACTAGTATATAACAAGCAAGCCTGGCAATCAATAGAACTTCTCGTCATGAGATTTCTTCATGAAATTGCATAGCAATTGCTGTTTCCAGTTCTAAATATAAAAATCAGTTGACTAATTTGAAAATATTAAGAAAATAAGTTAAGTTGATTATTTATAATAAATAGATGTTGTCTTTCTTAAAATATCATTGATAATTAAGTATATTAGTTAGAATTACTATTATTAGAAAAACTACCTATGAGAGACAAAATAGATTTGAGTCTTATATTTAAGACTAAAATAAAAATCAAAGGGGATCTTATATTAAGAAGCGAAGGTTGTACTCCTCCGGTCCTAATTATAAGACCCAATTGACTTATTTGAGAAGATTAAGGAAGTAAGTTAAGTTGGTTATTTATAATAAATAAGTGTTGTTATTCCTAAAATATTCTTGCTAATTAAGTATATTGGCTAAAACTATCATTATTAGAAGGATTATCTTGGAAAAAAATGCATAAATATAAAAGAAAAAATGGATTGGGTCTTATAATTAGGACCAAATAAAAAGTCAAATTGGGTCTTATAATAAGGACCGGAGGAGTATATCTATTATGCGTTCCTATAGAGCTATACATGCATATTAAATATGTATTTTTAAAAAATTATTAGTATTTACGAAACATGCTGTCAGAAGGCGGCGCGTGAGGAAAAGTTGGATGTTTGACCATTACTTAGAGTTCAACAAAGGATCCGATCGCCGTGATGAACATCTGGCTCCCCACTCTATGAGCCAATTGGAATGCATTCAATCAAACACGGGGCACAACCTCCCCACAGTACTGAGTCGGCATGGTGCCTTTGGAAAAAGAAACCACCCCCCTCCTTTGTTTCCCGGGGGAAAAAAAACAAAAAACAAAAAACTAGTTGCTCGTTTCATCTAAATCAGCAAAGGAACGAGCAAGCCATCGAATGCCTAGTTTTGTTCGTTTGTAGTTGTCCTCCTCAATTATTGAAGAGGGAGAGCTAAATAAAGCGATTTTCTTGGACCACATCTGTCAATGGGCAACACGACCGAGCAATAATATGTTCAACATGTACAATTGTTGCATGCCATGGCATTAACATCTTGATTCGCGACTTGGTCTAATCAAGTGTTTGAATCCAAATATGCATGCTTCTATTTAGTCTGAGTTAACCTAAGAGGAAAACACAATGTAACCTAGACTACCTGCAGGGCTTGTGTTTATTGAATCATGGGTCATTTATGTTTGAACATTTTACTTAGGCATATAAATGTTTTTATATATTATCAAGTCATATTATTTTAATTACGATCACATGGGTACAATTATGGTAGAATTACCTGTCCTTTAATTTTTGGCTAAGAAATGTAAATAATAATGAGATATCAGTTAATTAAAATTTACAGTAGTGGCAAAGACTTCTGCGGAGGAGCAGTGCAAGCAAATTAATGAATCTAAGAATTGGTAATTCATTTGTCTCGTAATATATTTTGCGTGTGTGTGTGTTCATCGGCCCTTTAAAAAAAATAAATAAATAAAGAAAAGCGTTTTTCCACTCCCTTCAAAATTCGACGATAACCGCGACCCATCAGGATTTGGAGGCACCTGCTTGCTTGCTTGGAGAACAAATCCATGTCTGAACCGAAACAGTCTCATCTTATCTCTTTCTCTGTAAGCGCTCTAATCAAATCTCCTGAGTTGTAGAAAAGCAATGCTGAAAGCTATTCAGATCCTGGGATGTTCATCTAGCTTAGTTACTCAACGTTGGAAACCCTTTAGCAGCCAAGGTCTCCCTTCCATTGCTATCTCGTTCAAACCCTTCTCATCTCTCTACGCAGTATCTTTCCTAAAAGAACTTCCCACGATGGATTCTTCGCTCCTGCCCAAAGATTCGACTCCTATGTCTCAATCAAGATCAATCCATGCTTCCTCAGCTCGTTCTGACTCGAATCCAGATGGCACCTCGTCGTCTCCTCCATCACCATCCCTCGCAGTTCAGTCATCGGTGAGTTTTCTCTAAGGCCCATTTATAAGTCGGTAGATATGTTCGATTAAAATCAACTGTTAATACGGATTTCTCTGGTCCACTCGCTGGTCATTCTTTCCTTCCTTAGTTTCTATTTTCTTTTGTTGAGGCGGGTGCAAGAGGCTTCTTGAAGAATTAGGTTCCAGAGAAGATCATCGCAAAATGCGTTGACCTTTGAATCTTAAATAATGACATTATCTATAGACCCCTTAAATTACAATGTCGCAACAAGAATGCATGTATTATTTTTTTCTTGGCCGTCTTTTTTGAAACAATTGGTCATATTGTTGGGCTCGTTGCAATTTAGGGAGTTCGAAACATCAAGTTCTGTCAGTGGTGTGGTGGTCCAACAAAGCATGATATACCTGAAGGAGAAGAAAGGTTGAGAGCAATATGTACAATTTGTGGGAAGATTATCTATCAGAATCCAAAAATGGTGAGTAGGTAAAATCACTGGTGCTTCCATTTGATTTGCTTCAGTGATTCAGTCCTTGTGGAAAAATAGGATATTGGTAGCTTGTTTACTGTGAGAGTGGTGCTATTTGGACTCTAGCTTGTACAATTACCAAAAATTAAAGCTAATTTGCTTGAATGCGCCTGGTATGTGCAAAATTATCTCTCTCAAAGTGGAAGATCAGGACTGTGTGAGGTTTGGCATCACAGCTATGTGATGAGGGCTTTAACACCCCCGGCCCCTCAGGGGAGGGCGGTTTAATTACACACCTTACGTTGTTTGACTGGGTCTTCTTTATCTGTTTTGCTAATTTCTCAACGGGTGATTCATACTCTTTGGTTGTTAAAATATTATTTGCCCTTGAATTTTAATAAGGACGTTGGTTTTTATCATAATCCCTATCAGGATTCCTTCTGAAAAATATCAATAATACGTATAGACAGCATGCATATTGAAGTTCAGCCTTGAAAAATAAGGTCTAGTAGAGGCTCTTGTTCTAGTTGTATGCAAATAAAGAATGATTCATTCAAAAGGATTGCCTAAACTTAGTCAACATTCGAGTGCCATGTTGGTTTGAGGACATTGATTTTTCCAACATGTCACAGGTTCGAGACTCTGGAGAAGGAGGATTACCTAAACTTCCACCCAAGTTGATTTAGGACGACCTTATAGATGAAAGTGTTTTACAGTATGCTTTGTTTATATGCTAAGGCTTTTGCTGAGTTTCTGAAACTTAATATGTTGTCCGCAAAATATGCTGTAATAATTGTATATTGTTCGTCAGAGCATTTATTTCACTTCATGTTTTGCCTAAAAACCTTACTACTTTCTTGTGAATATGTCATTATTTGGATGGCAAAGTAGGTTGTTGGTTGCCTCATACAACATGATAACAAGGTCCTGCTTTGCAAGCGGAAGATTCAACCATCTTACGGTCTTTGGTAGGAATGAAATTAATGCTGAATTGCATATCTTCATTACTATATCTTGCAATCTTTTCTTAGGACATCTGATTATAAATTGAGATTGTAATTTTCTGTTAAGATGAAGATTGCTTATGAGTGTATATTGAGTGTTAATTTCTTGGTGTCAAAAAGGACGCTTCCTGCGGGGTATTTGGAAATTGGAGAGTCAGCCACGGAAGGTGCTATCAGGGAAACAAGGGAGGAAGCAAATGCAGAAGTGGAAGTACTGTCTCCTTTTGCTCAATTGGACATTCCTCTAATTGGCCAAGTAAGAAACAAATAATGTTTTATTTTCTTTTTTATTGTTAATACTTATTTATTCACCATTTTCTTAACTAGCTAAAGAAGTCTGGCCATGACTAATGCATGTTTGAAGCAGACTTATATAATCTTCTTAGCAAAGCTAAAGAAGCCCCACTTTTCTCCTGGTCCAGAATCATCAGAATGCCGGCTTTTCTCACTTGATGATATACCTTTTGATTCTTTATCTTTTTCATCAATGGTGGTTACCTTAAGTATGGTATGATTCAGATATTTGGACATTCATTACATTTTGTGATTGTTATTGGGCTATTCGGATATTTTACTACTCAATTTATCTTATGGTTTTATCTTATGGATGCAGTATGCGGAGGATATTAAGTCTGGAAAGCTCAAATTCCATTATGGTGTCATTAACAAGAGGTATTTTCAACATATCTCAAATTTCTCCACGTAATTTCCATCTTTTGCATTGTCTCATTTCAAGGAAGAAAATTATCGAGTTCTTGAAAAACTAGTAACACTTGACTTAGGCTAAGGACAGGAAACGGTATCAGACTATACAGCTCAGCTAGTTGTTGTGCTGTCTAAAACTAGGCATGTTATTCTGCTCCAGTGCTCTGTAACTTTTGTTATTACCTAAATGAATATGCATAAATTAGGACTGGTAAATATTTATAATCCTTGGATGAATCGCAACCGCCGCCTTTACTTGCCTCTACAAATGAAGGCATTGATATTGTTTTTCTCATCGAGGACAAGATCATATCCGCTGAGAGATGCTTCTTTACTTCTGATCTTACTTTTATTTTATCCCGTCTCATTGAATTCTCAAACCTCTTGCTCATGATGTTTGAATTTATCCTGACGATTCTTGTTAGGCTGGGCACAAGTCCCTCTGATATTCATGCCTATACGCTGGATAATCATATGCAGTCATGACAGGTTGGTGAGTTTCTCATTGCATATCATGAACAAAAAAAGCACGTTTCATTTGAATCAGTATGCTTAACATTTTGCTTTTGGGTTTCAACGATTTAGCACCACAGTTATTGTATTTATCATTAGTTCAGTCCCATCTAAAGACCGGGCAAATTATCCTGGGCTTTTATTATAATTAACTGATACTTATCCTTCATAATGCAGATACAAGCTCCTCCTTAGTGATGAAAATCTTGTTGGTTGCAGTACTATGAATATCTGAAGATTTAAATCCGGAAGTTGTAAGTTGTAACCTGAAGAATCTTCTGCGAGAATGCAGTCTGCCTCCCTGTGTTGAGCCGGATCTCTACGACATCTACATTCAGCCCATTATTTTATAATCAGCCGGCCATCGCGTGATAAATATAAAATTCGGGGCTGAAATTTCTCCGTTGTCATAAGACTGATAGGCAGTTGTCGCCAATCACATCGGCGGAGCTCGCTGTGGTTCAAGGTCGCCCTCAAATGTTTGCGGCGTGCCATATTTTGATTGATGTTCGTGGGTAGGTGGGTAAGCTGCTTTCATTGATCAAAGATTGGGACCTGTTACTGTGGAAACATTTATCAGAATTGTGAACGTAATTATCCATCAAGATTCAAGAGAGAAGAAATTGATCTTGAAAAACTATCTCTCCGAGAATAAAATCTCGAAGAAGCTGAGAACCAGAGCAACGTACAATGGATGTGAAATCATGACCGTTTTCGTGCGACAATATGAATCCAAATTCATCGTTTGATTTGTCTATTTCAGAAACAGCCCTGATGATACAACAATAAAATACCGGGGAGAAAAAACGCACTAACTAATTAGAAATCTGCTTGGACGAGAATGAGGAGTATTTTTGGACTTATTTGAATGATTTAGATTTGAAAATTTAAAGGTTTATCTTAAATAAATAAAAGTATCTCTATTAAAAATAATAATTCGAAAAACTTTAAAAAAATTACATAAAAGTTTTCATCTGGGCTTTCCCCTCTTAACCTTCTCGTAGTTTAAGCCCTAGTTACCACCCTGAAAAAAGTCCTAGTTTGCTAATAGGGTGTTTTTAGCTCTTATCACATGCCATGCCTCCTGAATTGAAAGCCAAGACCATATGTTAGGATATTGCTGGCAATATAACGCGTGAAACTCAATGGTTCATTTGTACACGTGTTGCATGTTTCAAGATGTTTTCACTGTTTACAGAATTCTATAATTTACGATTCAAAAGCTGATCAACCTAATCTTGCAGAAGAAGAAATAGCAGTCGGTACAAGAATCGTCCAGACCACTTGGGATCATTTTAATCATCAGCTCTACAAAACAAATCATGAATTCGAATCATCTGCCTGTGACCTCCAAGTCTCCTAAGAAGGGAGCGAGTTGGCTTCCTGTAGCAGAGCTATCCGTGTCATGGGTGAAGGAAGGAGGCAAGGCAGGCCACACAAAAGCAGGTCTTTGCTTGGGTACTTCTGGTGGAGCTGCTTCCCCCGTAAGAACCTGCATAACAGTCCTCATGGAAGGCCTGTGGTGTGGGTTTGGATGACAACACGCCAAACCCAGAACAAGCACATCTTCCACCTTTTCCTCTTCTGTTTCCTTTCTTATTCTACCATCCACTGCGGCTAGTAATTTTCCCTTCTCGTAAAGCTCCCAAACCCAGTGCACTATGTTATTCTTGTACTCGTCCACCTGAGAATACAGATTCCCTTGTCTCATTCCGCACACGACTTGTAATACAACAACGCCATATGCATACACATCCGTCTCCACTGTGGCCCTCCCTGTAAGGAATGTTTCTGGAGCCATGTAGCCGGGTGTTCCTGCAATTGCTTTTGTCGAGTGGTGAGTTTCGTCTCTCTTCTGAATGGTACGAGCCAGTCCGAAGTCTCCCAGCTTGGCAGTGAAGTCCGAGTCCAACAGTATATTGCTGGCTTTTATGTCTCTGTGAAGCACCCTTTTCTCACATCCGTTATGCAAATAGTCTAGTGCCTGAGCCACCCCGTATATGGCATTGTGTCTTGTCTCCCAGCTTAATATTGATCCATCTTTGCCCCCAAGCTTCTCATCATCGTATAGGTAGTTGTCTAGGCTCCCGTTAGGCATGAACTCGTAGACAAGGAGGAGTTCTCGGCTCTCATAGCACCACCCGATCAATTTCACCAGATTTCTGTGATGAAGACTTCCTATTATCGTCACTTCTGCGACGAACTCTTGCTTGCCTTGACGTGAATCCTTGGAGACTCTTTTCACAGCAACCTCGTTGCCTCCCAAGAACCCCTTGTAGACCGTTCCAAAACCACCTTCCCCAAGCTTGTTTTGAGGACCGAATCCCCCCGTTGCTTTCCTGATTTCTCCTAGTCGGAACTTCTTTGGGGCCATAGAACTGTGCTGAATCTGATCCTCTATTCTCGGGTACGCTTCGTCTGACATCTCCATACGGCGTTTCTTTTGCCAGAGCAAGAAGAAGATCACCCCGCCTAAGATGACCAATAGTACTGCAGGAACTGTGATCCAAACCCACAACAGCTGTGGATCATCATCTGCAATTCTTGTACCGTAGAATTCCCAAGCTCTCACACAGTTCAGCTCTGTATAGTTACTTGTTGAAGCTGAGAAACCCAAGAAAATCTCTTCTGGTAGATATGAAGATAGATTGAGAGGTGGAGAAGTTAGCAGAGTCTTCATGTTCGCAGTTCCATTCATGGAACCCAAGACAGATATTACATCTTCAGCATATTGAACTCTGATCGTGACATTTATACCCGATGAAATAGTAATCCCCAAGTCTGGTAGTGAAACGCGCGTCATGGAGTTGATACTATTGACGTTCACACCAAGATGGTTATCGGGCCATCTTCCTCGGAGTTTTGTCTCGTGTCGAACTCTACTGCCAAAATCCCAGGTTGAGAAGTGCCATTGGTTGTAGCATTTACGATTCCAAGCCATTCTCCGGCACTGTTTTCTGGAAGAGTGATGTCTCCAGTTAATATAAAGGCCAAGCCTTCACCTCCCGGAGAAGTTTGGTTGTTGATATTTAGCACGAAGGTGGTGTTAAACTCAGCAGTTTGGTTTTTGCTCTTGCTCCATAGTCTGTATGGCCTTCTGTAGAAAGCTCGGCCAGAATAATCTTTTATCTCCCCACGAATATCAGGGGTTACTTGGATGGCGTCCAGGTATATTTTTGAGTTCTTGCTCAAAATTAAATTTGGCTCATCCGAGGGTTGGAAGGTTGGAAAATTGAAAGAAAAGCAGCTAACTTGAACAAGGGCAACGATAATGAAGATTACTGCTAATAATTGAGACTTAGCTACCCAGGAATATCGAGGGAACATTGTTTCTAGTCATGAAACGGCCAAGAATGGCCTCAACCAGAGCTTGTTGAAGCACAACGTCCCAAACGCACGAAAGCTTACAAGGGAGATTGAAAGGCAAAGAACAAAAGGCTTATTCATCCTCCTTCCTCTGTGTGAAGTGCTGAATATATTATATGGGTAGGTAAGATCAAGTAACCAAAATTGACTAGTCTTAGTACCCAAAAAAAAAAAATTGACTAGTCTTAAATAACATATTGGAAGCTCCTCATGCCATCATTTCATGCTGTTCAACGGTGCATATATGTGATTTTCGACGCTATTTCTACGAGAACCTATGTAGGGCCCATTAGAAGTATTGGGTTATAATATCTTTAGCTCGTACGGCCGACGCTGAATCCAGATAGCTAACAGGGGCTAGTATTGGTGTGAACGCAACTTTCTTGGTAGGGACTACCAAAGATAACATCAAAATAAGTTACTATTCTTAGACTCCATCGGTATGATGAATGATTCTTTAATCTTCACAACAATCACGCAAAATGATAAATTATTGAGGCGGCACAAACCGTGTTGGAAATTTTGTAGTATTAGTATGTGAACTTCTCAACGGAACTTGCTCGTATACAGAGTAGTCATGATGTCTACTTGGGTTGGGGACAGCATACATAACACTGTAGAAAGTTGCTATATCGTCCAATCAATTTGCTAAACTTTTGTATGTTAATATCCTTAGTTGTTATGGGGCATATCAAAAGGGAATTGGATCATGTGTTCACCATGAAGAAAGAGCTTGTAATTTCACAAATCTTAAATAACGTAGGCATTGCTCTGCGTCAAAATAGAAAACCAACGCGTGAAACAAGAAATATTACATGGACGTCAAGTTGGGTGGAATAATCCTGCTGAAGCAAGAATGAGGAAGGCGCGTGATGAACTCAACGAATTAAAAGGAAGAAAAATCAGACATTTATGTATATAATAATTAAAAAGAAGAAGAAAGAGGAAACTTTGCAGAATGGAGAGTTGTTGAATATGGACAAATATAAAATATAGCCGCCTATTTGTTTTCGCTTTGTTTTTATTTAGGAGGAAAAATCAAGTAGGGCCTGCCTTTTTCGTGGGTAGGAAGTTCTTTTTAATACAAAAAAATTTAAATGAGTTGAGTTTCACGAGTTCACCAAAACCAAGACATATCTTTAGACTCAGAGGATATTTATAAGGTACTTACAAATCGCTCACTAATAAAGTCTTCATATTAGCAGCGAGATTCAAAATTACGAATTTATGAGTTATGAGCTGACCCTGGTCAATTGAAATTTTGCAAAAAGCTAGCAGACGTTATCTAAAGGATCCTAGGCGAGGCACGTGATAATTAAGGAAGACTGGAAGATGAGCAAAAGTAGAACCAATGGATGGACCGAAAGAAAATTGACAGGCACAACTATGAAGAGTCGTTGTTTTAAAAGGATAATAATAATGGAGCTATGGCTAATGACTCAGATGTGTCACGATCTTGACAGTAATAGAACCATTACTTCCTCTCTGCAGTGCCTTGGCTTGACCGGTGCTGTTTTGTGAAGAAGACCACCACAATTATCCCCACGAACAAGCAAGGGAGATCATTTGACGACGATCGCGATGAGAATGAATGATCAACTACCTCTTGTTATTGTCCTTGGATCAAGGCCATAATTGCAGCAACAAAGTTGTTGTCGATCGACTCGTCTGTATTGGTTATCGCATGATTTGTGAAGAACATAGCTGCAGCAACGAGCCTTAAACTGCAATACAATTCCGATGGCTGTATATGGCTCAAATGCTCACTCTTCTCCATTTTGTGATGATTTTGCTGAACTATATATAGCTCACACACACACCCTTACCTTTTTTTGTGATAATTTTTTCAAGCAATTATCTCATTATTTCAACGTTTCCATACGTTACGTATTATAGGTGAACATCAATATGGCCTAAATGCAGAGTCATTAATATCGTCTCACCGTATTCACCATATAAGATGGGTGGGAGAAAGCAAACTTTTCACACATGGTATATTTTGCTCCAAGTCTTCAACGTTGTCTCAATAGAAAGAGCAAGATTTGTTAAAATTAAAAAATGAAAAGGTTATTTGGAGCCTCAGCACCCATATAAATAATAAAATTGAAAGGAATAGAATTGTGACTCCTCCTTTTTTTTGGTGGGAAAGGTTCAAATGAGTTGAGTTTTGGAGGACTCGTTAAAACCAAAACATACTTCGAGATTTAAAAATTCTTATAAAAATATTTATAGATTGCTTACTAATAAAATTTTTATATCGACAGTAAGATTTGAACTCATAACCATATAGGATATAAGCTGACATCTTACTTGGAGCAACTCTTCTTGTTGACTTGCTAGGAAAATGAAGTCCGCAGCACGAGTCTGTGGGTTAAAGTGGGATAGAAAATGACAGTCACAAGGGGATGGATTGGGCCATTCATTGGGCGGAAAATGCAATTCTTGTTAATGCAGTTCATGTAATGTGAAAATGCCTTCTCTCTTTTAACCAAAAAAAAAAAGCCTTCTCTCGCTTTGATGATGATGAGAATTCAAAAGGAAGAACAACTGCACCATATTTTAATTTTTATAACGCTATAAACTAATTGGGGTGAATCTTTTTTTTAAAAAAAAAAACAAACAAAACTTCGTTTGACTAGTTTTAAAATTAACATTACAGAAGAAATACTTCAAATTTTACGTAATTCAGTCGTTCACATCAGTAACTGCATGGGATATGAGAACCAATAGAGAGTAAAATATACCTGGCATATTATTACTAAATTAAGCTGCTATAAATAAAATAAATCACCTCTCTTCACCCGCAAGCCTTCCTACAGACCATTAAAATTGCCGAACATCTAAGTACTGTATGATAGATTTTCTGACCCAAAAAAAAAAAGTACCGTATGATAGATAATCAATTCTGAAAACTCGCCGAAGAAAGAGAGAGAAGACGAGATATCTACCGTCCGATTGGGAGTCCTGGGGGTAGCCATATGTGTGCGCGCGCGTTCGAAGGGTTCGGAGAACCCAAGATCAGGCTTCGTGAACTGCCTAAGTAATGCCAATCTTAGCGAAGAACTAGAAATAAAATATTGCCAATTTTAGCTTAGTGGAGCCCATACATCCTGATTTCTCCAAGAAACCTACGTTTTAGCACTAAACTCTAATATTCTCCGTCGCTCTTTCCTCGTAGTCCACGAGCCGTCGCCACACAGAAATAATGAATTATGCTTTAATTAATCGGGTGACTTTGATCTGATCTCCTCGTCCCTACCGTAGGATGTTTGTCTTCATAATCAAGGCATTTCAACTTCCTCTATGCAATACTATTGGCTTGGCCCGATGTATATGAAAATGAAAAAGAAAAAAGAAAACAGAGAGAGAGAGAGAGAGAGAGAGAGCACTTATGAAATGTAAGGATTAACCAAGTATTAGTTCTTAGTTTCTAAGCGGACTAAGATGGCCAGGAAAAAAATATGTACATGCATATTTTAAAGTAAGGCAAAGCAATAATTCATCATGTTGTTAAGACTTACAAATGTCTTTTGCATGTGGTGTAGCAAATATTAAAGTACTTACAGCTAACAGTATCTAGCGAAAACCAATAACATTGGTGTAATCAATCAGAATATGCATTCTGGCCGGCCGAGACCGAGAATATGCGGGGATCTTTCTAAAGACAGCTCCTACTTTTGCCTACTGCACACTCAATCCTCACTGCCAAATTATTATATGTTGGTTTGACGAATGAACCAAACATCCGAGAATCCCAAGGACTGGCCTGCCACGCTCATATGTAGCTTTAACAGACATATGGAGACCCTCAACACCTTTCAATTAATATTTCCACTGCAAAATCAGAGAAAGACAAGCCAGCATGCGCTCTGTATAAAAATGCAAGTTAATTTAATTACTTCCACTAAAAAGAGAAGATGGAATCGCCACGGAAGGACCCCAGTGTCTTCCACTTTAGCCATCCACATCCACTGGAATTAACAACTTCAACCCCAACCTTAAACGCTACCTGCTCTGGGTGCAAGCTCAACGTTGCGCCTGGTAAGAGCTATTACGGCTGTAAATCCTGTGCCTTTTGTCTTCACTATTTCTGCTACAAATTGCCCATCATAACTCAGCACCCTGCTCATTCTTCTCACGATCTGGTCCTCCTCCTTGTACCGTCATCCTCTGCCGCTAGCAATGGCACCGTCAAGTGCCTGGCCTGTGGCCACCATATCACTGCCTTCTGCTACCACTGTGCTGAATGTAGCATCTACTTCCATGCATTCTGTCTGGCGCTCCCTCTTTCCCTCTCAACCGCCTATCATCCTCACAAACTCAAGCTCGAATTTTCACCTCCTTACGACTTCTTTTGTGATGTGTGCAAGAAGACCAGTTATAATGGGTGGCTATACCGATGCAACTTGTGTGAATTCGACATGCACCTAGCTTGTGCTGTTCAGAATTTAGAGCCCTACTCTCTTCACCACCCTTCTTTCTCCCAGTCCAACACTTTGTTGAGAAAAATTGGGAGTCCTCAATTGACCCATATGAAGTCCAATGGAGGTGTGGGTGATAATAGTATAGGCTCGGAGATCTTGCATTTGTTGGCACGGCAAATGGGAGGCGAAATTAGAGGGAACACTCGTGGCAAGGTTCTTGGATGGGATAAGAGGATATCCAGTCCAAGACAAAGTAGGATGGCAAGTGTAGAGTTGCAGCTAACAGAACAAAGTTCTGCTAGAGAGTCGGCAAATTTAGAGGCAAGAACACCACTTCAAGATAAGTTGACCCCGCGTTCTGATGTTAGCACACCTCCAAGTTACCAATTTAGCGATGCTTGTTTTTCAATAGACTTGGCAAAGTCGTATGCGGCAACCAGAAGTCTGGCTGAAGCAAGAGGAAATAGTAGAACGACAAGCAATTCTGGAGAAGTCAAAGAACCACTTGTTTTTGCAAATTGGCCAAGCTTTAATTCATACAATGCGGCGCAACAAAGTAGATTGAACACGTCGTTCTTAAATGGAAGGCGGACTAGTTCTTTTGCGGAAACAAGCCAGAAAGCCGTAGAACACAAGCTCTCCGACCCAGACTCAGTAAGTTGACGGGAGGCATGCATCTTTATGAATT